ACAGCGACTTTGTTTTATACTATATAACGATTGCCCCTTTTACAGAAAATCGTATACATATTGTCTTTAGGACAAAATAATGGGATAACGTGATATTACTTATGTATGTAGGCGACGATTACCACTTACCATCAGGTGGGCCGTCAACTTGTTTGACATAAAAAAGAAATATCTGTGTAACGCTCAACGTCTACTACCTTATTCAATATCTTTTAGATAATTTTATTACAACCATCCCAACAAAATGATATCCATTAAAATAAATAGGAGTTCTCAGTTGATGTATTATATCCGGTGATTGTTTTTTCACTGCTAGTGCTACACACAAAATGTGATATATTGGGTACATTTGAAAATCTGATTGTTATCGCTCCTTTAAAATAATTTACTGGAATATAATTTGTTACATTGATTTATCCAATCATTAGATCGATCCCTAGTCGAATTCAAATGGGGATCGAAATTACAATCACTTGAGCCGAGGTTGGAGCCCTTAGCGGTGCCATCAGTAGAAAGTTATATCTGTCAGGCAGGAGTTGGCTTTTAGCCGGTCCATATGACCTTCCGCAGTTTTCGAGTGTCAACTATACTCGCACCTTATCGTTCGGTGAAGCTATGAAGCCCAGTTGTGGCCAACATCTTTAAAAATTACAAAAAAAATATTCAGCTAATTCCTATTGTATTTAAAAAAACAACAATAAATGTCTTATTCAGCAAAACTCTTCTTTACTGAATTTGAATGTAGTGTATTTGTATGTGTAAATAATGGAATCGATAAAAAACTGACGGGCCGATGATACAAACAAATTCGTGTTGATGTAACAAAAAACCGTAGAGAAGTGTTTATATGAATAAAAATTATGGATTTTCTATTTTTATTGAATAGAGTAGAAGAATACAATAAAAAATAATTTATTGAAATAAATTCAAGGATATTTGAATAGTCATATACATTTCTTTTAATCTACTGCTCATTCGGAAAGTGCTGTCTCGTCACAAGAAGAACCAGCTAGAAACTTACGTGTGTTTAAATAAATGACGTAGTGGAGTAACTTGAAACAGTCATGCTCGCTATAAAGTTCAAACTTGTGGCGGCGTGGTGGGCCGGGTCATTGGGCTCCCTAAAATATGGTCGAGCGCAGTGATGGCTGGCTCATCCGTCATACTCGAGACCGAGGTGCTGCTTGTGGGGACTGGCCTGTTCGGGTTACAAACACTGATTAGACTATTTTCTTTTGCAATAGCGTATGCTGGTGGTCACTATATTCTCCGAAATTTGAATTTAAAAATGAATCTGTGTAATTGTAAACATGTACAACATTTATTTGAAAAGAATACGAGCTGAGTTGCTTGTCAGTTTTCCTCATCTCGACATCACTCCGAAATGATGGTAGATTTGACATATTATAAAAGTCTGTAATAGAACTACGTGAATATTTGAAATATGTTTTGAAAATGATTTTGCCTTTAATAGTTTCTTCTTAAGATACAATTTAAACCCTATATATCTGTTCAAAGCAATGCAATCTCCATACATACCCGATTTGGTCAATCCAAACTCAAGTGAAAATTCTCAATTTTCTCAAAATGTCTTTATTCATGTAGGACCTACTTGAATATGTAATGTGATACATTACATATTCAAGTAGGTCTAATTACGTAGACTAGTAGTAAAGTAATATAAGATATAAATAAAGATATACTTTATTTATATCTTATATTACTTTACTTATATCTTATATCCTTACTTACACTTGCACACGCTCTTCGCTCGTGCCTTATACCAAGTTCATTATACAAGTATTCACAGAACAAGGCGTATATAACACAATAGATCGCATTCGAAGTAGCAATTTTGTCTATAATATGAAAGATTTCATATTACAATGGATTCGCGTAGATTTGATCACACTTCCTTTCAATTCATGACTTTTATCAAAGTGATGAATTGAAAGTACTTTACCTAAGTGTTACTTGATGTAATGATAATGCACTTTCACGACTCTTATCCCAGATGGGGTAGGCAGATCATTATATTTTTTTAATTGTTGTTAAACTGATAATAAACAGCGGCCTCGGTGGTCTAGCGGTTTAGCTCGCCGCTTTACTTCGCGTGTTCGATTCCTCGCACAGTGCAAACAATTGTATTCATCATTGTTTGTATGGGTCTGGGTGTTTATTATATATATCAAATTATTTCTATCAGTTGTTTAATACAGGTATAAAAATATACTATCTCTATTATTATTATTTCTATAGACTTACTAGTCTATACATGTACTATACATACTATAGACTTACTAGTCTATAGTATGTATAGTACATGTATATTTTGAATTAATAATATTGGAATTAATTTGATTTCTTATAAGTGATTACATCAACGGAGAGTCAGTCCGAAATATAAAGTGACAAAGTTTATCGTGTATTTAACGACGTCCATTGGGTGAAATTAATCTGAAAGATGGCGATACACTCATACAGTTTTTTTAGTGGTTGATAATGATATACTGCACCCGCCTGCGCTAACGGTTTACGCTGGCGGGGCACCAGTGGAAGATGCTAAGATGAGAATGAGGTCAGGTCAGAGGAATTTATCACGATAGTTTCCAGGGGAACCGCGTGGAGGTCAACCTGACAATATCCATGGGATCATCAGGCCATATTACTATTTCCTTCCCCCACACTCATACAGTTATAATATCTCTGTCTTCGCTCTCTTAAATAACACGCAAGTTTCTTGCTCGTTCTTGTGATGAGACAGCTTTCCGAATGAGGGGTAGATAAAAAAAAGTAAGTGATGACTATTCATTAGTACTTCAATATAAGTTTATTTGAATAACCTGCCGAGGTTTTCTCACGAAACTACAGCATGGGGTTTTTCAAGAAATATTAGGGTTTTTTAAGGGTCGACAACGCGTTCTTAACACCCCTCTATAGTCTCAGGCTATGGTAACTATTTACCATTAGATAGGACAAGCCTTATTTGCGACCGTAGAGTATAAAAAAAAATCTATTCTACTCTACTCCACTACTCTGTTCTATAGCAGCCGCAAAGTTGTATGTATAATCAAAATTATTAATAAGGTTATGTAGAAAATGTTACTTGTCTATGAAATTAATTATTCAACAAACAAAATGGGCCTCAAAAATGGATGGATCTGAACCACTCCCTGATGTTTTAATTAGATTTTGGTATTTCTGTATAAATTATCCCTTCGAAACATAAATCGTAAAAAAAATCCAAGTCTCTCCTTTTGCTATAAACAGTTTATAACTGTTTATAGCAAAAGATACTTGGATTAACTTTATTTTATATGAGATCTCGTAAGATCTCCTATAAAATAAAATAAATTTAATTTAGTATATATTAACAAAAATAAAACGTGGTAAGATCCCGTGATTTACTAATTATTATTATAAATTATGAACGCGTCAAACTTAAAACAGCATATAATTTAGTATAGTAGCAGTATTAGTAATAGTACACCTCTTAAGTTTTTTTTCGAATTCTTTTCAACAATATAGCTAGCTGAACTGGATAGTGGGGACAATGATATAATGAGGACTTTACATAAATAAAAGGTGGTCTCATTGCTTAAAGCAATAAGTTACAGACGAAATACCACTCAAAACTACGATTTTTATTTTCTGCCTGTCTGTCGCCCTTTCACGGAAAAATTACTTAACCGATTTTTATTAAATTTGATACTCATATAATCCTGAGAAAGGACATAGGCTAGCTTTTTAATGCAAAAAAGGGTTGTAAGGTGTTGAAAGAGGAGATGAAATTTTGTAATGAAGTGTCATCATTTTTAAAGCTAGAAGCTTGAATTCTATTTTTAGACTATTAATTAATTATAAATGAGGGGGGGGGGTAAAATAAAAAAGGGTATGAAAGTTTGTATGGAAATTCGTAATATTTGAAGCCAGTGGACGAAGTCGCGGGTTCAGCTAGTTTCCTATATATGCTAGTTTGTAATGTATATGGGTAAATATTGTTAGTATAAAGAATATTAGTTGGAATCAAAATAAATAAAAAACTAAAAATTCCATGATTCGCTTAGAGAAAAATATGGTTGTACTTGGCGTAAGCACTACCATTCTCCTCAATAGCCAGGTACCCGTAACAACATCACAATTGGGCTATATTAAATAATTTGAACTGTTTATTAATAATGCTGAGCAATTTCTGTTGATTTCTCAAATGTACCCTTAATATTGGATTGAACTTGCGATATAGAAAATTTAAATTAAGCACATACTATTTGTTTGCGCCTGTATACCTATTTTCCTTTCCTTACGTCCTCTCCACATCTATCTCTTTCCTTGGCAAGGAATCTGAAAGGGACAGAGATGTTTCGCTCGAGCCCGATCGGCGAGACTCGGGCTGTCGCGCACGTAGTCATTCGGAGATCGTTGAACGGTGGCTATCATAGTTTTTTCATCCGCATTAAAATTAGTATTTTGGACAATATATAAACTGATTTTGTATATTTTTGCATATAGACAATATTTGTGTGTTGTGAAGTGTCATAGTGTGCTGGTGCAGCATCGTACAAGAACGAGAGGACGGCCGGCCTCCGGGAAGACATCGAGTAATCCAGGTACCTTGCCTCCTTTCATCCTAAAAATCAAATATACAGTCCACTTTCCACTTTCCATTTTCATTTGCGCATTTTATACACCATTTTTTGGCCACTTCGGCCGGATATTATATAGCCATTTGGTTCTTTCTGCTGCACCCCGCAATTAGTAGTATAATTCAAATAAGCATAATAGGTAGGTACTTCACGCATACCGCGTTATAGCCATCATAAAATCACTTCGAGTTATTCCATTTCGCATCAGTTTGTTACGTATGCATTTATGAATAGTTCAATTATCGCGTATTAGTTGTGAGTAGTTATAAAACTACTACTTGTATTACAATAGAACAATCTCGAATTTTGTTACGCATTTGTTAATTTTAATAGTAGGTATATAGTAATTATATCAAAATGTCGTTATCCGACTTAGAAATTAAATTAAACAATTTGATCTCAAGAAGGTCAGCTTATTTCGAGCGGGTTCAAAGTATTTATAATTCTGCAAAAAATTTAGTTGACGATGTTTCTATTGAATTGTTTTTATCGAAAGTTGAATCGTTGGATTCTATACGGAACGACTATTTAAGTACGTTGGAATCTATAAACGCTATAGAAACAAGGTTGAAACCTAATCATCAGCCCAGCCATCAGGCTTGGCTGGCATTTGAAGATTTGTATTGTTATATAAAAAGACAGATTACAAAGTTGAATCTGTCACACGATTCTAAACCTAATATATCAGCATCTGAGCCGATTAAGAGTTCTAGACCAAAATTACCAGCCCTCCAAATTCCTGAATTTTCAGGAGATGTGACAGTTTGGAATTTATTTCATTCTACTTTCTTGTCAGCAGTACATAATAACGACTCACTTACTGATTTGGAAAAATTGCATTATCTGTTAGGTAAACTCACGGGGCAGGCTAGGTCTGTATGCGCAGGCTTAACTCCGTGCGCATCCAATTATAGTATTATTTACGAGACATTGGTTAATAGATATGAAGATCTGCGGTTTCAAGCAACAACTTATTTGGATAATATTTTTAACTTAAAACCTATGTCTAGTACAACCGCTGAAAGTCTAGAATCATTCGTTGATAAGTTCGCATCATCTGTTGCGGCCTTAAAAAACCTAAAATTGGATAATTTAGCAGAATTTGTATTTTTATACCTCGCATTAAAACGTTTAGACCCAGATATAGTTCGTTTGTTCGATATGGAATACCGCGGTTCTGTGATACCCAGTTTCGATAGCTTAGTTACATTTTTACGTGAACAAATTAAAATATTGCACAGAACTCCTTTTGTAAAATTACATCAAAATAAGTCCGAACGTGTCGTTCCCAGAATAACTAAACAGACACACACGTATTCTAGTACAACACAGTGTACACGGGCGAATGTAAACAATAATAATATGGTCAAACAGTTTTGTTCTTTATGCAATTCGTCAGTGCCACATGATAATTTGTATAAATGTGCCGCTTTTTGTAATATGTCCCCATACGATCGATATTTATTTGTTAGAGGTCATAGTTACTGTCTAAATTGTTTGAGTAGTAAACATAAAATAGCAAATTGTAATTCTGGTATTAATTGTAAGGTGTGTAATAGAAAACATCATTCGATGTTGCATTTCGTTAGTAACACCGGCAGGCCGTATGCACAAAACGGCCGCGACCGGTCGCCCGCCGCACCCGCCGCCGCGCCACTCGCGCCGCTCGCCCCTGCCGCGCCGCCCGCGCCGCCCGCGCCGCTCTCGCCGTACGCGCCGCCGCGTCTCACTGATGCACCGCGCGCATCGCATTATAACTCACAGATAGCGAATACTAGTAACGCGACGGCCGCGGACATTGCGTTATGCAGTACACAACTAGTTAACAAAACCACTCACAATACTATTTTGTTGGCGACCGCACGAGTTATTGTTTACGATGTTTATGGTAGGGAATGTTTGGTTCGCTGTTTATTAGATAACGCTTCGCAAAGTAATTTTATTACTAATAGTACATGTGAAAAATTGGGTTTATGTAACCGACGCAAGACAAATTTATTAGTAAAAGGTATCGGCGGTACGAATAAGGCTGTCGACACATTAGTAAATATTAAAATACACTCCCGATTTAATTGGAATATTTCGTACGAGTTAGATGCATTGGTAGTGGATAGGATTACGGAACGTTTGCCTAATATGACTGTAGATAGGTGCAAGTTGTCTGATTTTGACGTGTTACCATTGGCTGATGACACGTATAGCTGTCCAGGTGACATCGACATGTTATTGGGCGCATCATTGTGTCATCATTTATTGCTTACAAATAAAATTGAAGGTCAGTTAGGTTCTCCCTATGCTTGGGAAACCACGTTGGGATATATTGTTGTAGGACCCGCGCCTGCTACTTTTTGTAACAACACTGTAACGACGTGTTGTGCTATAGTATCGAATTCTCTGGACAATTTAATTAAAAGATTTTGGGATTTAGAGGAGATATACGTACCTCCTATTAAAAGTCCAGAAGATAACGCGTGCGAAAAATATTATAGTAGTACTACAAAACGCGACCCGATCAGTGGTAGGTATATTGTGGCTTTACCATTTTGTAAGGATCCGTCCACACTGGGCGATTCTTATCAGTTGGCTAAAAAACGATTTTTATGTTTGGAACGAAAATTAATTGCTTCACCCGCATTTAAATTAGCTTATGACGATGTCATTCTCGATTATATAGATAAGGGGTACATCTCACCCGCACCTACGTCGGCGTGTGAAGATAAATCGCTTTCATACGTTATACCGCATCATGGAGTGGTTCGTGAGGATAAGACGACCACTAAATTAAGAATTGTTTTAGACGCTAGCGCGAAAACTACTAGTTCCATTTCATTAAATGATATTTTGTTTTGTGGCGAAAATTTACAGGGTAATCTTTTTGATATAATAATTAATTTTCGGTTATTCGCGGTCGCACTGTCCGCAGACGTGCGACAAATGTTTTTGTGCATAGAGGTTCGTGAAGAGGACCGTAAATTTCAACGACTATTGTATCGTTTTTCACCCACCGATCCCATTGTTACCTATCAATTTAATCGTGTTTGCTTTGGTGTTAAATCTAGTCCGTTTCACGCATTGCGTACAATTAAACAGCTCGCTGAGGATGTTGGAGACTCCTTCCCGCATGCTAGGGATGTTTTAGAATTAGGGTTATACATGGACGACGTAGTCCATTCAGTCGACTCAGAGGAAGAAGGGGTAAAATTGTCCACTGAGATGATCGCATTTTTTAAAACAGCTGGTTTCGATTTAGTTAAGTGGACAAGTAATTCGCAAATAGTTCTTAACTCAATTCCTATTTCTCATAGACTCGCGGCGCTTAAGGAGTTTGATGAAACTGACACCCATAAAGTTTTAGGTTTATCTTGGTCGCCCCGCACAGATTTATTTCGCATTCAAATAAACCCGCCTAATGAGCAGTGCACTAAGCGCGCTATATTGTCATGCGTAGCTAGGTTATGGGATCTAATGGGTTTTTTGGGACCTGTGGTTTTATACGCAAAGTTACTTGTGAAACAATTATGGTTATTGAAGTGTGATTGGGATGACGCGCCGCCTGCATCGATAGTAAAACTATGGAGCCAGTACCGTAGTGAATTGCATTTATTAAATAAAATTAGTTTTCCGCGTCATGTTGATATAACGAGAGATAGCGTCGTTACTGTAGTAGGTTTTGCTGATGCCAGCGAAAAGGCATACGGAGCAGTAGTTTATTTGCATGTTAGTAATAATGGAATTAATAGCGTTCACTTGATGTGTTCAAAATCTAGGGTTTCGCCTACCAAAACGGTATCTTTGGCACGGCTAGAGCTGTGCGCCGCATTAGTACTCGCAAAACTCATTAGAATTGTGTGTGACACTTGTAGTAAGCGTCTCACTATTAGCAATGTTATCGCATTTTCTGACTCAACTGTGACACTTTGTTGGATTTATTCGTCGCCCCATAGATGGGATACTTTTGTTGGCAATCGCGTATCTCAGTTGCAGTCTTATTTAGCACCAGATAGTTTCCGTCATGTTTCGGGTATAGACAATCCTGCTGACTGTCTATCGCGCGGATTGACACCCGCACAAATTATCGATCATCCGTTGTGGTTCCATGGTCCACCCTGGTTATCGTCGAGCCCTAGCGAGTGGAAGATAGCGGAGTTCAATCCCACTAGTATATCGAATCCTCCCGAGGAAAAAACGCAAGCATTATTAGTTTCTGAAATCGAACCTAGTTTAATTTTGTTAAAATTAGCAGATCAGTTCTCGTCGTGGTGTAAATTGTTAAGATGTATTGTTTATATTTGTCGTTTTGTTAGACTGCTCCCGCATCGCAAATACATTACCGCATTTGATTTACGCTTCGCGGAGTATAAATTAATTAGGCAATTGCAGAAGTTTCACTTTTCGCATGAAATTAAAGCTATGCAATCTGGTAAACATTGTAGTATCGCATTTCGTAGACTGAAACCATTTTTAGAAAATGGTATTGTACTTGTTGGTGGACGTCTTCAGAACTCTGATTTGAGTTATCAAAAACAACACCCTATAGTACTACCGCGTAACGGTCATGTAATGAATTTATTAATCGATTACTTTCACAAAATTCACTGCCACGCTGGCCCTGATTTGTTGATGTCAATTCTTAGAGAAAATTATTGGATATTTTCGGCCCGTAACATTATTCGTAGTCGAATACATAAGTGTAACCGTTGCTTTAGATTGCGCCCTAAACAAGTTTTTCCCGAAATGTCAAATCATCCCGCTTGTCGTGTAACGCCATCCGTTAAAGCATTTATTCATACCGGTACAGATTTTGCTGGTCCAATAAAGGTAACACCGCACCGTGGCCGTGGCATACGTGCGCGTAAAGCGTATATTTGTTTATTTGTGTGTCTAACCACTAGGGCTATTCACATTGAGTTGGCTTCTGACTTAAGCGCAGCTTGTTTTCTATTGGCGTTTAAGCGTTTCTTATCTCGTCGCGGACCAGTAACGCATTTGTATTCGGACAACGGGACGAACTTTATAGGAGCTAGAGGATATTTAGATGAATTGCATAAACTTTTAGTTTCAAAATATTTTAATTCAGAATTTTCGCACGTCTTAGCTGAAAATCGCATTGAATGGCATCTTAATCCCCCGGCGGCCCCACATTTCGGTGGGAACTGGGAATCTAATATCAAGAGTCTGAAGAGTCACCTATATAAAGTAGTAGGAGATCAGATTCTCACTTTTGAGGAGCTTAGCACTGTTCTCACGCAAGTGGAAGCAGTAATGAATAGTCGACCATTGTGTCGCACGTTAACATCGGATCCATCCGAACCGCTTGCTTTAACGCCGGCCCATTTCTTGACATCAACACCATTGAAATATTTGCCTGCACCAACTCTTGGTGGTAATGAAATTGATCTTAATCAACGTCATTCATTACTTACCAAATTAGTACAGTCATTTTGGTCTCGGTGGAGACGTTCATATTTGCATACATTGACAACGCGTCAGAAATGGAATACTCCGTCGAATCCCATAGCAGTGGGCAATGTTGTAATAATTATTATAGATAACGCACCTCCTCTTCATTGGCCTTTGGGTATCATTGAAGAAATTTTTCCCGCGAAAGATGGCATTATTAGAATAGCTAGAGTCCGAACTTCATCTGGCTTGTATCTACGACCAGTAGTTCGTCTGTGTCCACTTCCTAATCAGTAAATAGTAAATATAGTTAAGCTCCGTTCTCTTGTTAAGTATATTATTAGTTTGGTTAGTATCATACATTTTTGTTAGTTTGTTTTGCATTTGCTCTTTTTTTTTGAAGGGATCCTTCAAGTGGGGGGGGATGTTTGCGCCTGTATACCTATTTTCCTTTCCTTACGTCCTCTCCACATCTATCTCTTTCCTTGGCAAGGAATCTGAAAGGGACAGAGATGTTTCGCCGAGCCCGATACAGATTTATGACCCTATTTGGTTCGAAAGGTCGTGAGTTCAAATTTGAATGACATTTCTATATGAATGAGTAGAAAGAGCATATCTTAATGCACACAATTCACACAGCACCATCTAGTCTCAAACTGAGCAGAGCTAGTGTTATGGGTACTAGACAACTGATATAAATACTTATAAATACTATTTATGTACTTAGAAAATTTAGAAAAGTGACATTTCTATATCAATGAGTAGAAAGAGCATATCTTAATGCACACAATTCACACAGCACCATCTAGTCCCAAACTGAGCAGAGCCAGTGTTATGGGTACTAGACAACTGATATAAATACTTATAAATACTATTTATGTACTTAGAAAATTTGGAAAAATGACATTTCTATATCAATGAGTAAAAAGAGCATATCTTAATGCACACAATTCACACAGCACCATCTAGTCTCAAACTGAGCAGAGCTAGTGTTATGGGTACTAGACAACTGATATAAATACTTATAAATACTATTTATGTATTTAGAAAAATGTAGAAAGATCTATATTTTTCTAATTTTTCTAAATACATAAATAGTATTTATAAGTATTTATATCAGTTGTCTAGTACATAAATAGTATACATAGAAAACACTCAGACCGATACAAAGAATCATACTCATGAATACAAAAGTTTGTACCGTGCGAGGAATCAAATCCGCGACTATCGGAAATAAGGTACTAAACCGTTAGACCACCGAAGTCGTCAATATATACCTTATATAATACATACAAATTTTAGCTGAAAAATCATATTGAAGCATATGATTTTTCAGCTAAAATTTCTAAAGCGAAAACAATTTCACCAGACGACTAGACTCAAACATTGCCGAGTAGAACACGCTACGGAAATCTAGAATTAAATTGCTTCGCTAGCAGTATCGAGGAACAAACTTTAGAATTCAGATCAGTGGTTCTTAACCTTTTAGGGATGAGAATCCAGCCAGGCATCGTCAACTGTTTGAAATAAATATTTTGATATTAACTTTTTGGATGGCAATTTAGGTGCTAGGTGGAGCGATGACATACGTAGAGTTGCGGGTAATAACTGGATGCCAAATTTCAGTCCGATCCGTCCGGTCTGAAGATCCCACCTAGGGGCATGCCCTTGGGAGAAGCATATGTCCCGCCTATAAAAGTGCTTCGCTAGCAGTATCGAGGTACAAACTTTAGAATTTAGATCAGTGGTTCTTAACCGTTTAGGGTTAAGAGACTATTTCATAAATTTGTAGTTTAGTCGGGCATCGTCAACTGTTTGAAACAAATATTTTGATATTAACTTTTTAAAAATTGGATAGCAATAACAGGTGCTAGATGGAGTTTTGACATACGTAGGGTTGCGGGTAATAACTGGATGGTATGTCTGAAGATCGCACGTAGGGGTATGCATTGGGAGAAGCATATGTCCCGCCTATAAGAGAAATTAATTAGCACAAAAAATCATGTTGCAGAAGCAAACTCCTTCAAATCAAATCATTCATGTACATAGATCATTACAGACTATTATGATATGTCAAATCTACCCTCAGGAGTGCTAGTGCAAGCTAAAAAGAACTGATATGAAACTCAGCCCTAATTCTGTCTGAAAATCGAATGTGTTTTGGGCGATGCCTACGTCCAGCAGTGAACTACTGTGGGCAGATGATAAAATTATAATAATGTTAAAACTGATGCCGTTCTGACGCGTCATATCACGGTCAAACAAATATAAATCATTGACAAATGGCAATTATTAAAGGTCCATTCGGTTAGCGTTTGGAAATTCCAAACGCTAAGCGAATGGTCTGCTCAACTATGAAGGTTGTCGTCGCGCATGTGATACCCCTGGTGTTTTAGGCGTCCATGAGCTACGGTAACCGTGGTAACACATGGTATAAAAAAAATATCTTACAATAATATACTTGCAAATGAATGCCAGTCGCATTACTAGAAAAATTCTGAATTCCTCAATCAAAAGATGTTATTCATCTTCACATATCGGAACCTCTCCTACACTTGGCTAAGGCCCGTGTGAGGTATGTATTACTTTCTTTTAAACCAGATAAAAGACAAAAATAATGATAAATTCAGATTATTATATAGTGTTAGTTATTTTTATGTATAATATAAATCTTACTAAGCCAAAATATGTAAATACAGGGGTCTAGGCTCCGAATATGAATTTGTTCCATTCGGTGTCGAGACCCTTGGTCCGTGGGGTCCTAGCGCTATAAGACTTTTCAAAGAAATAACGAAAAGGTTAGTCGATATCACAGAAGACCGAAGAGCTGGCAGCTACCTTGGACAAAGAATTAGTCTAGCTATTCAAAGAGGGAACGCTGCCAGTATCTTCGGAACGTTGCCTAAAGGGACCACTTTTAATAATATATTTTAGTTATCATATTCTATTTTTTTTTTTAAGCTTTTTATTTTAGTTCTTAGTTGTACAATTAGGTTATGTAAATACTAGTTATATAATAATATGTATAGTAATATTATACATTGGCCAGTTTAAATGTAATAAAATATTAAATCTTACTAAGATTATAAATATTATATAAAAATAGGCTCAAAGAATGTCGCCACAAAAGAAGCGGCTGATTATACTACAAAATAAAATAAAAAAATTATAAACGCGAGAGTGTGGATGAATGTTTGTTACTCTCTGACGTAAAAACTATAAAATGGATATTGATGAAACTTTGCAGTAATATAGCTTATACATCAGAATAACATATAGGCTATAATTTAAAAGATATTATGTAAATTGCGCGAAATATATAAATGTTTTTTTTTTATATTAAAATTTGAACGCGTTTGACCGCAATCTCACCTGATGTTAAGTGATGATGTGGTCTAAGCTGTTGCACGCAAGCTCAAATAATGCCTGTTCACTCTTGACTTGAAAGACCCAAAGTGTAAAGTAAGTGTGATGCAGTATAATACTCACAGCTTACAGGAAAACAATTGAAATTTAAGTATATAACTAATACATATATATGTATACAAGTTACAGCGTATAGCCTATCAACAGAGAATCTAAATCGAAACTCTATTTACAAACCTAATAAATTAACTCTTTCAATTTATAACCGTTGGTTTACATGGGTTCAAGTTCTGTACATGGAAATATCGAGTTTGTTACAATCACAGATAAGATACGCTGGCGGGGCACCAGTGGAGATGAGCATGAGCTCCGGTCAGTTAGCCCATCGTGACAAATTCACCAAGAATTTATCACGATGGTTTCCAAGAGGAACGGCGTGGCGGTCAACCTGACATGGTACATTTTTAGCTAGTTCCCCCTGGAAACTGTTATGATAAATTCATGGTTAATCTGAAATGATGCCATAAAGAGTCGAGACTACTAAAGTGTCCAGCCAAGCTCCTCCCAGAAGCGCAGAAGTTTCCTGGTGTCTTCACAGGCTTTACGGAGCGACGAGGATTTGAGTTCGTTGTGTGGTCACTGCAAGCACTCCAGGATTACGTGAGCAACCGTTTCTTCGGCATTAAAGCAGCCCAGACAAAGACTGTCTGTAGCACCGCTTGCGCAGGCAGGAGAACTATTCCATTAAGAATAATAATAACTATTATTTGATTCATTAACATATTAAATAGTAGTACAAATATAGAAAACTTAAAAACTAATATTTCGCTATGAGCTTAAAGGGCCTGCACTCAGCTGATGCCGTAGCGTGTCACTGCAGCGCTGATTTCCATTATTATTCATAAGAAAGGAGACGGCATGTAACCCAAGCTTTACGTCCCCCACTTTATCCGCGCCCCGCGTTATCGTCGACATTAGTCTTCCAAGCTCCTGTTATTGCCACAGTCTCCTCCAAATGACGGCAATAACTCTTTTTTTTTAATTTGAAGCCAAATCTTTCCATAAATCGTGTGTGATTAATTATTAGGACCATGGAAACTTGGATTTCTATATAATTTCCTATTGCATTCCGCTAGACAACCACTTGATGGTAAATAGAGTGTAGCCTATATATATATATTTATTTATTTGTTTATTTCTGGCTACTAATGGCCCAAATTATATTAGTATCTTATAGACTAACATGCATCTAAATATATATAACTCAAACGTGACTGACTGACTGACATAGTGATCTTTCAACGCACAGCCAAACCACAGGACGGATCGGGCTGAAATTTGGCATGCAGGTAAATGTTATGACGTAAGCATTTGCTAAGAAAGGATTTTGATTAATTTTACTTCCAAGGGAATAAAATAGGGGTTGAAAGTTTGTATGAAACTTTGTCAATTTTAAACCGATCTGGCTGAGACTTTGCATGCTACTATGAAGTAGCCATCCCCAAAGAAAGGATTTTGATAAATTCCACCCCTAAGGGGATAAATTAACGCGAGCTAAACCGCGGGCAAAAGCTTCTTCTCTTCTTCTTCTTCCGGCCTTATCCCATTTGAGGTCGGCTCTCCTAATCTTTCTTCTCCAGTGGTGTATTTTGGACTGTTGTTGGCTCTATGTTTCCGTTGTCCTTAAGGTCCTTACTAACTACTGACATCCATGTTACAGTCCATGTTTCTACTGACAACAATCGGGGTCGTCGAAGCTTTTTCGGTCCTGAATTGAGGTCGAGAACTTTTCTCGTCAAGTGGTCTTCCGGTCTCCTCATGACATGACGCCGCGGGCAAAAGCTAGTAGTAATATAATTTATTTGATATATTTTATTATTTTAATCCCAAAATTTTTAACCTTCTACCATGAACTCCTATTTTTTAATAGT